GGGGGGGGGGGGGGGGGGGGGGGGGGGGGGGGGGGGGGGGCGGCAGGGGCGAAGAGGAGGAAGGCGGAGGAGAGAGACAGAGAAGGAACATGGAGAGACGTATATGCGGGACCATCATCATGGACAACGGTTTGACAGTGCAGTCTTGCACGATTTTCTCGCGATATCTTTGTGGCAAAGCCCGCATGTATTCGATCTATTCCTCCTGTCACAAGGATCATCGACCACATATCACTTGCACAAAAGCGACAGCTGAAAATGCCGAGCCTCCTAGACCCGATGGCGAGGCAGGGAAGACAGCAAGAGAGGAAAGATCGAATCAAAAGTCAGGAGGGACGCAACTAAGCGTGTTCCCTCGAGAACCGAAGCCATGGCAGCAACATCTATCAGTCGGGTAAACAATGATCACCACATCCATCGATCCCTACAGGGTCCATCCATCCTTGATTGTGCGCACAACCAAGTGTCAATCAGTCAATCCATCCACCCTATCCATCCATCCATCAATCAATCAACCCATCAACCAATCAATCAATCAATCATCGGGCGTCCTACTTGTTCGCTGAGAGAGATCGCAGCCCATTATCCTCCTGATAAACAGGAGCATAATCTGGACAGACTGAGAGGGAGAGAGTGTTCACGTGGACCATTCTCTTCTCCTCCAGAGCAGACAAATCAAAGAGTTCCTCCGCTTACCTGTCAAACTGGATCCTCCTCTCCTCTTCTACACAGAACGCTTCAGATTGAACAGTGGCCCTCGATCAGAGAGTGCTGCGATGCGAGAGGGCAGCTCACGCAAAAGGAGGAGAGACACGACGATGACGATGGGTATCCTCCACTGGCTGCAGCAAAGAGCAGGGAGGGGGATGACAGTACGCAAAAGGGTACAGTAACTCCACATCACCATCGCATCTCCTCATGAGATCAACACCATCAAGAAAACGACGAACTGTGATAGAGAAACAGCTGCCATTCTCCTTCCCTTCTACTTGACAGCTTCCTTGGGTGTGTCAACCATGCGCAGCAGCTCCTGGATGGAGCCCAAGAGATCCATCTTTGTAGTATCTGCCTGCTCCTTGGCTTTTTCTAGACCTTGAACCAGATCATACAGAGTTTTGCGCTTCGACTCCGCATCTTCCAGACGCAGCTTTTTGTACCGATCACTATATTCAACCTCAAGTCTTTCTGACTTTGCCTTCACAATGCCGGACAGACCGTCTGCTTCTCGTCTAGCCTCATCAGCACGCATCTGAAACATGTCAGCCTCGGCTTTCTTTAGCCGTACAATGGTCTCCAACTCCTCAATCTGCTGTTTCTTCTGCTGCCTTTCTCGACTTAGCTCCCGTGCCTCTCTCTGCTTCTCTTCCAGCTCTCTGTCATACATTTCCAAGTAATTCCGTGCACGCTTCAGATCAACCGTCTTCGCTTTAACATCAGCTTCCATCTTTGACACGGCATCTCGGACCACTTCTGCAATCCGCCGTGTAGGCGTCTCATGGGTGTCCACATGTACCAAATCTGCCTCTCCATTTGCCAACCTCGGATGATCTGTCCTGGTACCTCCTTCCCCTCCTGTTCACAGAATGGAACAATACACAACCACCAACATCATCAGATGACTCTCTCTCTCTCTCTCTCTCTCTCTCTCTCTCTCTCTCTCTCTCTCTCTCTCTCTCTCTCTCTCTCTCTCTCTCTCTGTGTGTGTGTGTGTGTGTGTG